TAAAATTACAATCCTATCCATATAAAACTTTTTTTTTTCTCTTTCTTCCTCATTTCCCTCTTTCTCTCCGTCGCTCTTCTACGGTTTAGTTGCCTCTCTTATTCTCTCTCTAACTTGCACTCATCATTGAAATTAAACGATCGTGATGACAGAGACGACAATTGCAAGATCAAATATGGTCGAAAAGCGTCGATTTAATATTTTTTGACAAGATTCAATCGAAAAATCATTAAATTTGACACTCCACGACCAGATCTGACTTCAAAAAATACCGAATCTATTACTTGCCGATCAGATCTTAGAGTTGGATTTGACACTCAACGATCAAATCTAATCGCGACTAAATATGAAAAAAGGGTAAATAAAAATTATATTTTAATTTTTTAAGTATTATACTTATTCTTTTAATGCTATTAAATATGGAAAAAGTGTAAATAAAAATTTAAATAGTTTTATGTTTTAAGATTCCACTTTGTCTTGACTTCATTACCATTGCCAATCTCCAAGTCATTAAAAAAAATATGTAAGGAAGAAAGTAAAGGCAAAAGAAAGTATGCAACTTCATATAAAACATTAATGCCTACATTGAGTACTGAAGGCAGCCGAACACAACAAAGAAGCAACAAGATTGCGTCAGCTCTCTGGACCTCTATTGGGATAGGAAACGGTGCACAGAAATGGTAGTTTCTGACAACCTTCATAAAGTATGGACTGTATGTATATATATATATATATATATATATATCATGTTCGTGTTGCCCTTATCTATCTGCGGTTCGGTCTGCTTAAAATGCAGCTAAAGTATGATTGGGGATTTGGTATGTTACTCATTTGATGCATGCACGGTTGTAATAGCATGGCATGCTTCGCATTGGTACATATCAATGGCTAATTTTTTTGTCCCTATATGCTTCTAACCTCCGAGATTTAGTATGGTATGGATTTCCCTGTGACTGTGAGTTGTTTTCAGTCCTAGCTGTTCTGCACTTTGTGATCTCACACTGCCTGAAGCTACTCCCCGTCACAAGTTGCAGAATCTTGTTTACAATTTGAAAACGGGTGAAGTCCTGCGGCTGCACGCTGATCAAACTTTTTACATGCATAAATGGCAATGCTAATCATTACCTGAAACCTTCATTCATTATATAATTAGTACGCATGCTCACATGAAATACTATATAAAATGAAAATGGTGGTTGCAACACATTAACTTTTGATCTGATGTGTTTGTTAGCTTGCACTCTTGCACATTAAGTTCTGATTAATTTATGTGTTTGTTTTTATCCTCCTAGATCTTGTTCTCAAGTTTGTGACGGATATTGTGCAGACATGAACCTTCTCTAACTCTCACCTAATTCTCTGTCTCTGTCTCTCTCTTTATTAATGCACGGCTGCAAATATCATGTCAAGGAAATGATGTTTGTTCATCAACTGAAGGCGGCAAGGGTTCAGATTCAAAGGGAGCAAGGGAATGAGCTAAGACTATCAAAGAATCTGGCTTATGCAAGCAAAAGATTTGGTAAAGATGATCATCACATCCCTGCAAATAAAGCTTATGATTTTTTTTTATTGTTGTTTTTCGGTTTTTAAGTGAAGGTGATGATGTTGAACCAATGACAATGATGCCTGTTACAAGTTCTTGCTTGTGAACCAATGACAATGATGCCTGTTACAAGTTCTTGCTTGTAGACCAAACAAAGGCCCTTTGGGCCATTTCTAGTTTTAACTCGATGTTAGGTCTCCTACCATAGTACGTATCTACCATTGCCGACAACCATAATTATAACCAGAAAGGGATAGGCCATCCATCGTTAGCCAAACAACCTATAAATCCATAAAATAATAGATATAAAGAAATGGGGAACTTCCAATTTAACTGTTGTATCATATCTCAATATTAAAGTTATGCTATATATTTCACAAAAGTTCTTACAGCCGGACAAAGAAACATGTCCCAACAAAGAAAGGGAAAGGAAACTAGAAAGTGGTACATGACTAACCAACCAAGACTTTCTCTCTTTAGCTACTTTTAACATTTTTTCTTTTTCCTGCTCCGTCTTCACATACTACGACCATAAACAGATAAATAAAAATTCAATAGCCATGCAATCTCCAACTTTATAACAGTAATTGGTGCCAGTCCTTCAATTATTCTTCTCCAGGATCTTAATGCAAAGCCCGTTTTTGAGTCGCAAGAGAGGAATTCGAGTGACGTCTCCTCCTCTTAGTTTTATCCACCTGCAGACACAAGAACAAGCAAAAAGGATGAGAAAAGTGTTTTATCTCTAGATGGCTAATTGGAGAGTAAACAGGACTTTGATTACCTATATTTGGTTACTAAGACGTGAATGAAGGTGGCCAAGAAGAGTTTACTATACTCTGATCCTGCACATTGCTTAATTCCTGAACCAAATGGCATGTAATTCTTGGAAACAACACTTGGTTCGAGGTCCTATACATAGCAAGAGAGAGAAAAAACAAAAAAAGTCGGTGCGTCTCATAACTTGCACGATCAACATCAATGCGTGTCTTAAGAATTTATTGCTCACCTTCCAACGCCATGGATTGAATGCAAGTGGATCCTTGTAAATATCAGGATTCATCTGAACCGCAGAAGAGACAAGCATAATCGCCCATCCTTTTGGAATAGTATACCCTGTAGCATAAGTCAGATGACCACCAACGGTAGAAATTTTATAACACTGCAATAAAATTAAGCGACATTGAACAAATTCATGCTTATTAAAAGTCTAGCATGAGCATACCATTGACTTGAATATCTTTCCGCGCCCTTCTTAGCAATCCCGGTGTTATGCTTCCTAGTCTGAGTGTCTCATTGATAACCTGTTCATCGCATAGATGTTTGTGAGATAATGTTATAGCATGTCTTTGTCAGAAGGAAAGGTGCAGGCTGCGTCATATTACATACTTGAAGGGTAAAAGTCATTGACTTGTATTCTTCCCATGTAATTGAGGAATTTGGATGCTCTCTTTTCTTTAGTATTGCATCATGCTCAGCCTGATAAACAAGAACAAATCTCCTAAATTAACGTCAATTAACAAGAACTTAAACGTCAGCAACTGACATTCTGAGGTAAAAAATACAGGTCCAGGAGTAGATATACGTACAGTTAATTCTTCTAACACCAGAGGGTTATCTCCAAGCAACTTTATGAGCAGTGTCGCTGCCCATGAAATCGAATCGAATGAAACAAATGAAAGCCCGAACATCAGTTGAGCAATGAAATCTTCTGTCAAAAATTTCTCAGATTTCATGTCTTCTAGAACGTGATCAAGTACATCCCCTTTGAGCATCCGATCAGGTGATGCACGCCTTGCTTTTACCAGAACGGACAGTATATCTAACGCTGCCTGATGGTACTGTAATACTGACACGAGTCAGATGAAAAATTCCCAATTCCCAAATTCACAGAAAATGACTTTCAAAATCGGAAGTTCGTTTTTAACTAGATTACCTTTAAACATTTGTTATAGGTTGTACCAGGGATGTTGATGGGAAAGGACATGAGGCCACGTGCTAAGCTAATGAACATGTCTCTTAAGCTTTGTGAGAAATTCTCAGCATCAGAACTGTAGATCTCCCTTGTGGCAAAGTTGAAAGCCATCTGTATTAGCCGAAGAGATCAGTTCTAAGTCGAAAGCAGAGAGAGAACATGGAATCACCGGACATGCATCCATATGTACATGTTTATAATCAAACTTACAGCTGAAACAGCGTCTTTTACTTCAATGGATTCCTGGTTGGACCAAGCGCTGAAGGTCTCACGAACCGTTGCTTCCAACAGAGGAAGCAGTTTCCCTTTGAGGCTCTCCACGCCAAAGTGACTCAAAGCCAAGTTCCGAACATACTTGTGAACATAGGCTCCATCGGGCCTGTTTTCCCCTTGCTTGAAGAGCTTTGCGAACAAGTCCAAGTACCATGATTCAACCAACCTACCGTGTTGTTGAAAGATGAAATGGTTGAATTCAGGGTCAGCAGATACAACCACTGCCCTGCCTGCCACATTGGTTCTGAAAATTGGCCCGTATCTGAAATGTAATTGCCCATAGATACGTTAAATTATATATTGCAATATCAACAAGGAAGGAAAATCTGGCCTAACTCATCTTCTATCAATAAGATTTGAAGCACTACCTCTGGAGCCTGGTTTTGAGAAAAGGTGGAATATCAAACGAGTTACTGGGGACGAGTAATTGAAGGGTCTCGCCAATGAGAGGGATCCCCATGGAGCCTGGAGGGAGGATTCCATTGCACTTGGGATTTCTCCATCTATAAATCCAGTGAGTAATGCATATAACAAGCAAAGCAACGACACACAACTGAAAAGTCAACATTATTTTTGGGATTTTGATTACTTAAAATTTCTCAAAGGAAGAATTGGGTAGCGAGAAGTGTGTAAGGCTCTTGGCCTGATGGAGGCGTTAAATAGAGCAACCTACGGACACGTGATCAGGAAACATGGAATAGAATAATGAAGAAAGTAAATGGCATGCACCCGCTCGTAGAATAGTCCAAGTCCTTGTGGAAGTATCATCTAATTAAACTACTTTTTAGAAATTATCTACTGAAACTTGAACGAAGCAGTTGATGGCGTGGCCATGTCTTCTGGAAGACTTTTCCCTGTTCTTTCCACACGCAAGGATCCCTCAACACTTCCGTTGTCGTGAAAATATAATTACTTATTGATTTATCATCAACAGCCCAAATCTAGGAGATCTTGAGGCAAGTAATTCCTCGGCAGGTAAACGAGATTTCTGCTACTTGGTGTGAAAGCTACGTTTTGAAAGAAAGTTGAAATAGCTTGTGACTGTTACAGTTTCTGACCCTCTTCTAGAAAGTGAGTTTGTCGTATTAACAAACATAGGTGAGGCGGAATCTTCCGAGTTGCCGTCACACAGTGGCAGTCACTTTCCAGGTTCAGGGATTCATATCAACTTCTAGATGCTGATCTTTCTCCGTCAAAACCGACCACGATCTTATTATTCGTGGAAGCGGAATGGAGGAGAAAAAGGACAACGCGGTGGTAAAGACAGGACAATACTGTAATCTACGTAAATATTTAAAAAATAAACCATCATAATAACATTTAAATTATAAATTAAATATTAATATTTATATTATCAATTATTAATATTTAAAAAATAATATAAAATAAAAATAAATAATTATATATATAATAATAGGATATGTTTTGTTTTCTTATTTCAAAGTTATTTTTACTTATTAAATACTACAATAAATCATAATAATTATTTTATATTATTTTATTTATTGTAATAAATTAAGTAATAATTATTTTATTTTATATTTATAAAATAATTATTCTATTTCGTGTAATAAAAATAATAAAGACAATTTCTTTGATTCTTTCCTATGCCTTGTAATTATTTTCAAAATGAAATTATGGGCTGCAATTTCACAAGTGGGATCATAACCGGTTGTCGGTTGGGTTGGGTCCTCAACTCAACCCTTATCATGTGCAAGACCCACCAGGGGTATACTCCCCGACTCTATGATGGGGTTGTGTCACCAATATTTTGGGCAGCTAGCCCACTGATTTTTGTTGCAAATGTTGCTCAATCAAGATTATTTACGTGTGATATATATGGTATAAACTTAAATCAATTTAAATTTATATATACTTTCTCAATATTTTGATTGGTATCAAAATTAGAATTGGTGTTAAGAACCTGACATAAATACTTGCTATTAGAGGAGTTTTGATTTATTTTTACAATTTTAACAAGTTAGCTTTTAAAATTTATTAAATAAAATTTTTTTAAATATGGTGAAACAGACATATTGAGAATATAAAAACCCAATTAATAAATTGGGCAGATAATAAATAAATTGATGACTTAACCAAAATTAAGTTACATAAAATTTAATTATTTGTACCTTTTTAAAAATTTATATGGTATTGGTGATACTTTTATCTACCTTTATGTTTATTCTTATTAATATTATAACTCCTTTTACCTTTCAAAAAGAAATTAAAATTTAAACTTATACTTTAGAACGAAATCTTGAATCAAAGAAAGAATTTGCGGATCCATAATTTTATGTATCCTAAGTGGATTAAACTAATTGTATTATTTTGTTAATGGCATATGTTGGTTTGGAAAATCTATCAAATACAACAGGAAACATAAAGAACAAAGTCTTTTAATATGTTACATAGAACACGAAAGCTACTTTTTGTTTGATTCTTCTTTGATGATAGGAATCAATTGATTCGATTCAAGCACCAGGAACTCGACATCCTGTAGATCGGGGCCATAGCTCTCTCCCTAGGAACAGCCTTCTTGGTCTTCCCAGTTGAAGTGTGTGGCAGATCGTTGAACACCACAGTTTCCGGCACCATGTTTACCGGCAGCCTTTCACCACAGAACTTAATCTACTCGGAGCTCGCTTTGCGTCCTTGCTTAAGCATCACAAAAGCACAAACTGTCTCCCCAACGACCTCATTCGGACGCCCTACCACAGCTGCCTCCAACAATGCTGGATGACTAAACAGCACCGCTTCAACATCGATGGAGCTTATTTCCTTTTCTGTGGCTATGAACGACTCCTTTTGGAACCCCTGAAGTAATCACAATGGAAATCGGATCACATTCACCTTTTGGCCTTACAATCTCGTACCCATAGCCATTTGTTGGATTCAGAAGAGAATCAAAAGTACGATAACCCGAAAGCTGATAACCAGGGGAGGCGGTTTTAGCAGCAGGATCAGTCTCTAGCATTAGAACAACTAGAGGAAACTTGAATCAGTGCATGCTTCGCTGATGATGTCAAAGGCTCCAAGGGCAAGGTCTGATGATCAGCAAATATGACTCTAGCTTCCAACAGTTTCAATTCTGCAGCTAATGTGGTTGATTCTTGGTATATGTTTAGTGGAGAAACAATGGCTCCTGCCATTGGAACAGCAAAATGAAGCTCGTACAACTCGGGTGTGTTTGGTCCCAATGCTGCAACCTGATCACATAAAACTTTCAAACGTCATACAAATTAATACAATCGAAAAATTATTTTGCTTCATGTAAAATAACAAACAAATACAAAGCATTCGAGCTCACAATATCGCCATGGGCAACTTTCAATTGGTTTAGGACAGAGGCAGGCAAGTTTGAAGCAACGTTCAAATGTTTCTTTCCAAGTGTATGTCAAAGAACCATAGATAATCGAGACTCGGTCACCATAAACCATAGAAGCTCTTTCCAAAATGCTTACGGGAGTGAGAGGCGAATAATTTGCAGAGCATTGAACCAAGCCTTCCATGTTTTGCCAGTCTCTTTAATCTCTAACTAAACAAAGATGTTGATGAAGAAATTGCTGGATATTGAGATGTTAACGCCATGAGGCATACATATATAGGGATGAATTTGTCGCATGGTGATTAAATTTAGTGGATCTAATTGAAATCAACTTAGAAATGTGTGGATTTTTAATATGCTTTTCATCAATTATTTTTTTTGAAAGGGACTTTTCACTAATAATTGGTGATGCCAATTTGCCAAATGTCAATTTTATTCCGACGAATTTCACACTTTTCCTTTAAATGCCGAATATCTTAATTAGACGTTGATTTCATTTTATATTTGAGACTATTTGCATTTTCTCTTTTCCATATCAAGTAAGTAATAGAGACAAAATAAATCTTAAAAATGTTAACTATTTTAGCATGTCTTGAAATCAATTTTGCCGATTCTCTTTAAATTTCAAAAACTCCATTGTTCCAAACACCTAGAACTAGAGCTCTCATGGTTTTAACTTTTTTTTTTTCACATTACATTTTATGGTGTCCTTTTTCTCAATTAACCAACTAGTAAAATATATGTAAAAAATAATCATTCGGAAAATCCAGATACTCCATAAGGGATAGAATTAGTTGATTTTTGTTTGGGACTAAAGATGAAGAGAAATAAGAGATAAAAAATCCAACCAAGAAGGATATAATTCAAACAAAAAAACTTGAAACCAAGAGAATGATCATTATATGATAAAGACTATTTCTTAAGAATGGGTTGACATGGCTCACATTTGAGATAAACACGACGAATTTCATATAAGAAACTCCATATCATAATGATCCAGAATCAAGTTCTACATGAAAGCATCCATTTCTTTAGAATTGAGCTTTAAACAATTTGATTCATATTAGCCTTGTTCATGAGTTTACTCTTATTCATGAGTTGAAGCATTGAGACTTGGTGGTTCAAATGTAGGAGAATCATTTGGATAATTTGCATATTTTCTTTTAAATCATTTTAAAGAATTTGTCAATTTTTTAAAACTTATTCATATTTTAATCAAACTTGAAAAAAAAAATTGATGCAGTCAACATTAAATATTTGTTATTTTATTCTATTTAAACATAAAATACTAAATATACAACTATAATGCATAAAATATAAATAGTTAAATATGATATACACAATAGTTAAATATATAAATAATTAAATAATATAAATAAAAAATAGATAAAAGAAAACTTTACTTCTTAATTTTACACAATGGTGGTAAGTAAGGGTGAGCAAATGGGTGGATTGGGTGGTTTGATCCACCATACTTAAGAATCTAATAGACCAATTGTTTTTAAATAACCAATTAAAACTGATCAAATATAAAAAAAGATCAAACGGACCAAACATAGAATTGGTTTGATTGGTCTGATTTCGGACTAATGAATCAAAATTTTATCATTTTTTTTTACAAATTATAATATTAAA